AAAACTTGCAGTCTGTGCCGCAGACACCCCTCTGGCGTCGGACAGAATTTTGGAAACGGTATAGAGAATATAAAAGTATAAAATGCTGCAAACAATGTTGGTTAAACTGCTGTTTTAAAAAAAAAAAAAAAAAAAAAAAAGATAGTTTAGGTTTTTAGGTAAATTTGTTTCTCTCACTTCATATATTAATTTATGCTCTTTATTCACTATAAATGTTTTCACTCAGCCTGTTTCACCTGCAAGGCCACACAATTCCCCTGCGTTGGAGTGTTTGTAGACCAGACCTACCTTCATCCCATAATAAATGAGATTCTTTCTCAAGGTTTATTCATAACATGTTACTGTTTAACCAAAGTGTCTATAATTTGTTTTGACTCTGACTGCTTTCCATTATTATAAGTAAGGGGGAACGAACGCTGCCCAGATCAGAACAGGGCTGATTACCGTGCGATAAGGTTAATATGATGAACTGTTCTCTTTTTCCAAAGATATAAAGTCCTGACTGAGTGAAATCCATCGATCTCCGTTTATTTACCTGGAGCAAATAGTTAATAGATTTTTCCCACTACCGGTTTCAACTTAATAACAATCTTAATTCTGACCCCTTGTAGGAAAACAGAAGACCTCGCCTGTTCAGCCGGGCCAACAATTCCCTTTAACGACCCTTTCAGAGACATAGACAGACCTCAAGGGAGAAATTCTCTGATTGTTAATGGATTTCAAAAAATGTCTTGGAGGAGTTAAACTCCGTTCCTGTAGCTTTTAGACACGACTGCAAACCACTAGATTGAAAAGCAAGCAACCAAAACCACAATCTTTCTAAGCCGAGACCCCGAGGTTCCCAAACCAGATACTACAACTCAACTACAAACTGAGATGTTGACCATGGATTGTTACGATTTTTTCCTTATTTGTCTTTCTTCTGCTTGCTGTCATCTATCTTTGAGAGAGTCTTCCCAAGGGATCAATAAAGTACTGTCTAAGTCTATTTATATCCACGATTAACACAATTGACAACACGTCATCTCAAGACACTTTACAATTCAACCACATGATCCAGTCAAACTGATTCAAAGTTTTCTATCTAAGGATTGATTGATTGCATTGATTTATCGACTCGAAAGCAATTCCTTATATCAAGCATACTTGTAGCGACAGTAGAGAGGAAAAACTCCCTTTGAACAGGAAGAAACCTCCAGCAGAACCAGGCTCAGTGTGAGCGCCATCTGCTGAGGCCCACTGGGGTTCAAGGAGA